CTGAGGCAGAAGTATCACTTGAGCACAGGAGTTTGAGGCTGCAGTGAGCTATGATTGTACCACTGCCCTCTACTCTGGGCAACAGAGTAACACCCCAACTCTTAAAAAAAAGAAAAAAGAGAAAAGAAGAGTAATTTTACAGTGGATAAACTGAGCAGATACTACCTCAGCCAGGGATCAAGGTGAGCATCAACAATGATGCATCATGTTGATAGTAGGTACCCCTGATAGGAAGTGAGGACAATTACACTTTACCTTTGTGGTCTTCCTCCCCAAAGCATATGATCCCGTTCTAATTGTGAGAAAATCATCAGGCAAAGCCAATGGAGGGATATTTAACAAAATATCTGACCAGTGTTCCTCAAAACTGTCAAGGACATCACAAATAAGGAAAGTCTGAAAAACTGATATAGCCGAGAGAAGCCTAAGGAGGCATGAAGATTAAATGTAATATGGTATCCTGGGTGGAAATCTGGAACAAAAAGGGACATTAGTTAAAAACTAAGGGCATCTGAGTATAGTGTGGACGTTATTAATAATGATGTATTGATATTGTTTCATTAATTGTAACAAATGTACCATACTATTGTACAAAATTTAACACCAAGGGAAAGTAGGTGCAGGGTTCACGGGAACTCTCTGTACTATCTTCATAACTTTTTCTAAATCTAAAACTTTTCTAAAAATAGACTTTATTTTTAAAAGGATACATATTGCATGATTCCATTATGCAATATGTATGATCTTGAAATAACAAAATTGTAGAGATAGAGCAGGCATTCGTGGTTGCTAGGGGTTAAGGATGGCGAGGGGAACTCAAAGGAGAATTGCCACAGGGAAAGCTCTGTGGCTACGGTGTAATTGAATATCTTGACTGTGGTGGTTGTTTCACAAGGCTATACATGTGACAAAATTACACAGATCTCTACACATACAACCACACTCACAAATACACACACATAAATGAAATCATGTATATCTGGTGAAATCTGAATAAGCTCTATGGATTGTGCCAATGTCAATGTTTTAATTTTTACATTGTACTGTGGTTGTGTGGGACGTCGGCATGGGATGGGGAGAGTTGGGAGACACTTGCACAGGACTCAGTATATTCTTTAGCAACCTCCTGTGACTCTGTAATTATGTAAAAATAAAAATTTTAAAAGTCTTTGAAAAATTGAAGACTTTGTGAGATGTCAGATGCCAGCATCTTAGTAAACTGTACTTTACTAAGATGTGCCATTGAACCTAGCTGATTCATTTGTGCAAGGCTGTTTTCTGGTGTCATTATTTTCTTCCCACTTCTCCTGGCAGACAGCTGAGGCAATTGTGAAGGTTGGAAATGGATTCTGGAGTCTTCTAGAGTATGGAGTATTGCTGACTATAATGGTGGTGGTTGGATCTCCTGGATTTGTGAGTGGCTATGGAGGTCTTGAGGCAAGGGCAGCATGGATGGTTTGAGTGGGAAGAGGAGGCAGATACCATTCTGCTAGGAGTTTATTCTGTTTTACGAAGACACACGGTAAATCTTGAATTTGTTAAGGGTTCTATTCTCACAAAAGAAATTTTGTGAAAATGAGAAAAATATGCCCACTCAGGGTAGACACCACACCCAGAGAGCAGATCTTGGAAAGAGAAGTACAGGCTGGATTTCAGCCCTGAATTTTTCAGCCAAGTCCCCTTGTGCAGGCAGCAGCTGGTGCAACCTTATATGATAGCCCTGGTTGATGATTATATTATGTCATATGTAGAATTATTAAGGGCAGTTACCAAATGAGTGGTGCAAGAGATAAAGAGGTGTTTCTGGACTGTGCTCATAAGATTTCCTGGAGAAGGTGAAGTTGGAATTAAACCTTAAAAATAGGTAGAATTTGGATAGGCAGAGAATGTATAGAAGATATTCATGATCTAGGAATGTTTGCTTGAATACAATTCAAAGGAGGCCTTGTCTTTCTTGCTCATTCTTCCACCTTTGGTACCTGGCAATGTGCAAGCAGGGAAGGAAAGAAGGGAGGATGGAATGAAGGGAGGGAAGAAGGAAGGAAAGATTTAACTGTATGCCTTCATTCTATTTTTTTCATTAACTTCTTCCATGCTACCACATTGTATTAGGATAGGATAGACTGCTAAGATAACAATCCCAGAGTGTTGCTGGCTTTACACAATGGTGAGAATAAAGTTGGAAATCAAAGATAGGTTCTGTTGGGAAGGTACAAAGATGACAGGATCAGAGATTTTTTGACTTGAAGAACATTGGAGACACCGTTGGAGACACGTTGGAGATACCGTTGAGAGTTTAACTTCCCATCTTATAAAGTAGGCAGATGAGACTCAAATAACTTTTGCTCTTGGATACAGAGTTCTTGGATACAAGAACTCTGTATGACTATAATGACATATAACAAATAACTTTTGCTCTTGGATACAAAGTTCTTTAGTGACCAAGAAGAACCGATATTCCATGTCACTTGACTCTTATTCCAGTACTCGGTGCCCTAAAAAGTAGAGAATTAAGCTTTAAAATATCAAGCTTTATAATGAGAGGATGTATAGTTTCCAACTCTTTTGAGGTTTAACACTTATCATTTGTTACTTCCGAATCTTTCCATATGTGAATGTAACACTTTGGAACTAGTTTTTTCTTTAATTAATCCAAAATGAAAGCCCTTATGACACTTTAGAAAAGTGTATTACCACAGCTTTTTTTTTTTTTTGAGACGGAGTCTCGCTCTGTCGCCCAGGCTGGAGTGCAGTGGGCGGATCTCAGCTCACTGCAAACTCCGCCTCCCGGGTTTACGCCATTCTCCTGCCTCAGCCTCCCGAGTAGCTGGGACTACAGGCGCCCGCCACCTCGCCCGGCTAGTTTTTTGTATTTTTTAGTAGAGACGGGGTTTCACCGTGTTAGCCAGGATGGTCTCGATCTCCTGACCTCGTGATCCACCCGTCTCGGCCTCCCAAAGTGCTGGGATTACAGGCTTGAGCCACCGCGCCCGGCCTACCACAGCTTTATAACGATTTAAAACTGGGCATTGGCATGTCCATAAAAGTGAAAGTGTTAGTAATAAGGAATGGAAATGAACACACCACTGTTTTCCCCTTACCCACTCCCTTTCATTGCCATTCGTTATTTCATCTGACCTGTAAAGGGCCTTTTTATGACCATGGGCAAATCCTTCAGCCCTGCACATCCCATCGTCCTCACTCCTTATTGCATATGTGACAGGTTAAATTTTTCCATGTAGCAACTAATTTCCAACATCCTCACTATTCTGGTAGTTGCCTCTCCCCAGTACAGGCAGCGAGGCTGGTTTGTGCTTATCCCCTCAGGGCATGTTTCTGACAGCAGAATGCAGGGAAAACATGAAAAAGACTTTATTTCTGGCTTCAAATGTCTAGAAACTTGGGAAATTGAAAGGAATTGGGCACAGAGAAACAATTTGGAAGAAAGTTGGAGCCAGGCTTTCCAGGATCCCTTCTTCCTTCCCCTTCAGATTAGAAAAATGATTCCCTGGCTCTGCAAATAAGATTCTGCTATATGCTGGTGGCATGGGGCCTTAAAAATTACTAAAAATAGAGCTGGAGAAAAATTAAAAAGTGTATATTCCTCCCACCCATCAATTTGTAGACTGAGATTTGGGCCAGCCACATGTGTGGACACATCCAACTTTCCTGAGAATCTTTGTCAGCACATTTCTCCACTATGGACTGATTAAAAACTTTAGAGTTGAGCCAATCCATTCCTAGGCAACAGCTTTGTCCCTGCATGAGAAGCTGGTAGGAAGGGATTAGGGCCACTCTTGGAAGTCATTTCTGATTTCAGAAATATCAGTGGAACTAATGAGTCCAAGTTAGAATGAGGATTATAGAATGCTTTAAATTGTCCCAGTTCAGTGCAAGACAGTGAGAGGAGGAAAGGAAAAAGAAGGCAAGTCCTATTCTACTAGAGGTTGCTGACCAAATTCTCTGAGTCTCAGGAGACAAGCTGAGGTAGTAGTGCTTCACTCCTCCTGCAATGGCTCCCTAATACTCTACTGCTGAAGACTTCCATTGACTGCTATAATTCTACCACAGGTGCCGCAAACACCGAAAGTCACAGTGGATGTTATGCTGGGTCAGTTGATGGCTAGGAATGGGGAGTGAGCAGGAAATGTTATAATCATAACAACAATCATAACAAGATAGTTGTTATAATCAACAACTATCTTGTTGGCTTTTGGAAGACGCACGTCCAAAGGTAAGACAAAGAAAGAAGGCAAAAAATATATAAATGCCTGTATGTTCACATACAATTAAAGTATAATGTGCAAAGTCCTTGAGACAGGCTTTTAAAACCTACTTGTAAATACAAACTAAAAACTGGAACAGAACGGGTAGAAAAAACAGGCAGGGAAGCAGTGAAGACTCTGCCTTTCTTTTGAGACCCCATCACTCTTTCACAGCTGGCCATATTCTGCTTTAAACTGCTAGCTTCGTTTTTCAAATGCAGGCCTAGTAAGTCCCTTTAGGGCAAGGATGTTCAGTATAGGCACTGGGTAGGTAATCAGTAACTGTCTGTCATTTATTAAGTAGTCCCTCCTGTCACTCCAGTAAAACCTTAAGTGCAGCCAGGGATCCTTCCTTCAGATGTTTGACATCATGGGATATTTAGTAAGAAAGCTTAATCCCTATCTGTAATGCTCTTCTAAAAATTTAGGACAGGGTGGGTCTTCAACATCCTACAGTCTCCTTTGATCACTTTCAGCAGAGGCCTGACCGGTTCTATGAATCAGCCCTGGCTTAGTGGCCAGTTAGTGCAATACTGTATGAACAGTAACCCAGTAAATCAGACTCAACTCTTACCCAGAATGTACTTCCCAGTATCATACAAAAGAGATACGTTTGTTAAAATTTTCTCAATGATTCTGTATCCAGTTGGTGTGAGCAAAGACCCCCAAATGCTATTAAACTCCTTAGTGATGTGAACCAGATGGAAAATAAAACAAAAGAATTCACAACTCATGTTAGACTGAATTGAATGTCTTTAATTTCACACAATGAATAACATATGAATAGGATTAACTTTTTTTTTTTTTTTTAATAGTTAAGTGCTCTATACTGTGCTAACCTGATCTGGTAGCGAAAAAGACTGAGCTTTCTTTTAGAAAAAAATGTTTAAAACCCAACATCTAAGACCATGGAGGAGCATGACAGTAAGCATGCTAGATGTATCTACGCCTCAAATAACAGCAAGTCCATGTTCATTTTAAATGTACAAAAATGCTTTATGAATAAAAACTGTTACAAAAAGAACATTTCAAACAATGTACAATTTTCTTGCCTCTATATTCAATAAAATACAAATACATTTTTTGTTCTAAAATATGTTTACATACAATCAAAGTAGAACATGCAAATTACACTTTAAAAAAGGCTTTTAAAAACCACTTATGAATACAAACTAAAAATTAGCCAGCACGACTTGTAAGACAATCTTGTGCCCCATTTTTTTCTTTTGAAATATATATGTACATATTTAACACATCATGTGCATTTATTATTATTTAAGAAATAGATTTTTTTTTTTTTTAAAAAAAGGAAGAAAAAGAAAGACACCAATCTAGGGTGGAACTGCCCTTCCACGTTGACCAGTTGGCAGCTCCTTTCAATTTCCCCCCTTTAGTGTTTATTAGACCTGGGCAAGTGGGCAATAGATATCCAGGAAGTTTCTTCCTTGGTTGATATGTGCTTCTAAGACTGTTCCCCAAATGACTGAGTCCAACAGGGAAGGAAGACTCATCAGTGGGGTGAACTCTCCAAGAAACAAGAGGCAGAGAGGACCTTGTATTGTGGAAAGAAACTTTAAGAAACACCAAGAAAATGCTACGGTATATTACAGTTCGAGTTTCTAGGCACTGTGATGACATTATCTGTAAGCTCTGGCATTTGGACCACTGTGATACTATAGGGTAGAGTTGAGAATAACGTCTATATTTATCTACTTTTACATAACGAGAAGGACTGAAAATCCTGCAACGTAACACTTAAATGGCTTTTGAGGCATTTCAGCTTCCGCCACCCCTCTCTCTCCATGCTGCAGTTGGTATTTAAAGGCTTTGGAAATATGTGTATAGACTTTAGACAGTTCCCAGGTAAATCTTTCTAGTGATAGGAAAAAAATATTCTCCAAAAGCTCATTATCTGAATATTGTTGGGTAATAAGCTACAAGAGGGATTTTCTACTTAAGTCTTAAAACCAAATCCTTTATGATCTGCATGTAGTACATCACCTTATACTATAATTCTGTCACCACTTGATTATCATATTTATAGACCCAGCAATGTGCAGAACACAAATTCTGACTGCCATTGAACATGGCCACCTACTCCGGACAGCAGCCAAATTAACATGCTAATCTTCTGCCAGCCCTTAGTCACCTTCTCTGGGTTGTTAGTGGCTGCTGATTCCTGGTCCTGCCAAGTCACAAACCAGCCCCTGACATGCTTTCCTTTCCTTTGACCTTTCTTCCTTGGGTTTTCGCCAGAGCTGGGCTATTTGAAGAAGTTAAACTTCTGTTCCTCTCATTTGAGATGAGGGGTGGAAGAGCAAGTAGCTCTTCCAGACACTTAGCCAAGTGGATTAAAGATCCATCATCACCTTCAAGGAGGCTTTTGTATCTAGATTTCATCCTTTTCTCATCACCAACCAGACTCCTTACAAGTGGGTCCGCATCTGCTTACTGAAGTCAGGTCATCCAGAAAACAAAAACTAAAACCAAAACCAAAAAAAAAAAAAAAAAAAAAGAAATAAAAATCAAGGGGTTTCTTTTATAATGAAATATTTTGTGAAGCTGTATATGGAGTACCATGTATCCCAAATGACCTCTTCTCAAAAAAAAAAAATAATAATAATAAAGCAGCCCCACCCAGAAGGCAGTGTTGGCGGGCCCAGAGACCTCCACGATCAGGGTCAGGAGAGTTGGGTTTTCTTCCCAGCTCTGCAACCAACTGTCTGTAAGCTGCATTGGCCCACGGCTGAGCTGAGTTTGGACAGGTAGGGAGAGGCTAAAGGAATTGGGGGTAGTTAGAGAATAAGGAAATGGTTGTACTGATGAGTTAGGTAAATGAAAAGCGGAAGAATAACATAATGTGATACTGAGAGAGGAACTGGGTGGTGGAGAGAGGAAGCTGTGTAGGTGACCAAACTTGCTTCCGCCTCCAAGCGGCTGTTTAGCATGCCTCAGCTGTGGTCCTCTGCAGTATTCCAGTCTATTCCTAGGGTCATACAAGTAGGGGATTCGAATTTAACTCACATGACCACTATAGACCAGAATTCACGTGTAAGTTGCAACTCTGCTGTTAAATCTCCTGAAATATCTTTCAGGGCTTTGGAAATTCTAATGTACCCCAAAGCTTTTTTGGAATTTCTCACCTACTAGAGGTTAATGTCAATTAAACTTTGGGTCCTTATTAAAGAAGTTTGCAGAGTGCCAGCTCATCTTCCTCTGTGAGAAGATTGAGTCTGCTTATAGAGGTGGCTGGAGAGACAGTACAACACAGGAAGGAGGAAGGGCAAACGAAAGAAAGAAGGAAATGATTTCAAAACCCAGGAAGAGAAACCTCTTTATGGCTGAATTGGAATGAAAATGGCTGCTGTTTCTTAGCAATGGTGGGGTGAGAGGGGCTAATTTAAACCTTCCTCTCAGGTGACTTTGGAACCACTCAGGGCTTGGGAATGACGAATTAAAAATGGCTGCTTTGATATTGCTGTTTAACTTGTGTGAAATGCCAAAGGTCAACCAAGGTCACAAACTGAGTATCTAGAACATAAGCTTTAAAGTAGAGGGGAATGCCGTCCTTTAAACTTACATATTGCTAGTATTAAATGCGACTGACCTAGTGGGCAGCGAATGATGTGAAGTCCATGGTGACAGAGCACAACAGTATGACTATGTGGGTAATTTCAACTAACTCTTGGTGCCATAACGGAGCAGTAATGTTTGCAAGCACATTAACTTGGAATTTAAAAATTTACTCACATAGATACCCCATCACTTATTCTCTTACGTTGCCAACAAAAATCCCTCTCTCTCTCTCTAAGGAAATAATACTGTGTTCTGAAATGATAATACAATTTCCAGCTGGTCCCAACTTCCCGTAAAGAAACTTAATTTGGAAGTAAACCAGATATTCTAATTCCCATTAGAAAATTTAATTCTCTCTCTCAGTGTCTCTTTCTATAATCTACCATGCCAGGTGTTTGATGTCTTGGGGAAGGTAAGGGGGAGTGAGGGAGGAAATTGAAAATAGTTATTTGAAATTTCCACAATCTGACTTTTAGAAAACATCTACGGAAATGGAATTCTTCGTATTCATTCTGAGCCTGCTTAACATATTTTATTCGGGCTGTGGAAATGGATAATAGAGATGGAATATCTGTCCACGCTAAACCAATGGTTAGAGTACAACTTGGATGAGAAATGTACAGCTGAAATTGACCATTTAAAAGACGATTTGTCACACACAGTTTGCATCCATGCAGACTGATAGATTTATAATTACATTATGTACAATAATGTTTTAGTTTATTAAGGCAACCACAATTTGGATACTTTGTCCAAGGTGGCTTGATATAATTGAAGTGGTGATACCCTTTGAGCATTTTATTTATTTATTTTTCCAGATAAGAACACTTACTCCCATTTGCTTTTAAGAAATAATTATCCAGGGATAATGGACTTCTTCTATTGTCTTTTTGTTTCCTTTTTTTTTTTGAACAACCTATGACAATTATTCGTATGAAAAAGATCAGGTACCAAGGCATTGCTAGACACTTGTCTTTCTGGTGGGTCTGGGGTTTCAGTTTTTGGTAGCTTGTCAGTTATTCTATTTGCTGTGGGGTATTAAAACCATTTTATTCTGCCTATGCTCTGCTGACATGTTTTAAGTATAAAAATAGCCTGGTTGACATCTGGGTCAACATATCCTTGGCTGCTCTGCGTCACTTATTAAAAAGGTTTTATCAATACTGAGTATGTTTCACAATGATTGGGATTCAAAGCCAGGTTCTTGGAACAGCATGCCAAGGTTGAACTTTACAGCGCAGGTTAAGAATTGTATTATTTAAATGTGTACCAAGATTTAAAAAAAAAAAAAAAGCAGCAAGTACGTTAATGAAAAGATATATGGAAGTACAACGGGCAAAGGAAAAGTAGGAATAGACAACGCTAAAAATCAGTGTATGTGCGACAGAAGAGGCACACAGAACATGAATGCGGGTCTAAGGTCGCCTATCACTAGAACTCCACCTTCTGATCACACAATTCCATCTGAGAAACTGTACGGTTAAGGGAAAGATTTAGGTCACCTGAAGATGACGTTGGTACCCCAAAGCTTAGCAGAGCTTGAAAATCAAAAGAAATAAAAACCAATTAAATGGAACAGGTTACAGCAATGCCAGTTGAGCAATTTGCAGCTTTTCTCCCCTTGGAATGTTTCCTAATTGAGGGTGTTTCCCTTTCGATTTTCCTGGCCAGCAAATGAAATCGGAGTCGAGGGCGCACCTTGACAGCGGGAGGTCAGGAGAGCGCCACCAGCCTGCTCCTCCTGGGGGCCTTCCGCTCGCCTGTGGACGATCCAGCCGTACTGAAGCGCCGCGTGATGGGAGCTGCGGTGAAGCTGACAAGCTTCTTCTGAAGGTGTCTCCCTGCTTTGCTTTCCCTAGAGCTCCTGATGGCTCAGCCCGTCGTCTGGCCGGATTCTGCCTGCCCGGCTTCTGGAGAGAAGGGCGTGGGTGTCCCTGCAGCCGGGGATTCCGCCCCCGCCCACTGCGCTTCCCACGTGTCAGTTCCCTAGGCCCCAGGTGCAGACGCCCAGACCCGCCCTAGGGAAGGACCTCGCTCTCACTCCCTCGGGACTTCCTCTGCCTTTTGGCTTTCACCTCCTCTTCCTGGGGAAGGGGCTGCTGCGGGGGCGGCTGCTGCGGGGGCTGAGCGGGGGCCTGCGGTTTGTGTTTCCTCTTTCCGCCTCGGGGGGTCTTGGGTAGAGGGGGTGGTGGGGGTAGGGGCGGTGGCGGCGGTGGCGGTAGGGGCGGCGGCGGTGGCGGGGGCAGGGGCGGCGCCTCCCGGGCCATGTGGATGACGGCTTCGATGGTGGCCATGATGGTGTCTTGGCTGGCGGCGGGCTCCAGCACCAGTGGGCTCAGGCTGGGCTTCTGGCCCCTTTTGCTGGGCAGGTCGATGCATTTTTCCAGCACCGGCATTTGGTCTCTGGAGTCCTCATCGAACTGGGTGGGTTGCTTCCTGGGACGCCCGCGCCTCTTCTTCACGAAGTTGTTGCCTGTTTTTGATTGTCTCTGCAGCCGCTTGGCCTTCAGGATCTTGTTCACGTGGTCCAAGTTCTTCTTGGTGGATAGGATCTTGGTGTAGTTGCACATCTTCCGCACTTCGCACTGGATGGCTTCGATCTCCCGCCGCTTGAACCTCTTCTTCAGGGAGGAGCCGACTGCAGGAGGGGAAGAGAGAAGAAATTGAGCACAGGATGCAAAGTTGCCTTCAACCCAGCCTCTTCGCTGACAGCTAGCATTCTACTTGGCTATAAAGATTATGGAGAATTAATGCTATGGGTATTAAAATAAAAATAAACATTTCTCAAATATTCATTGTGCATGCAAAGTACTTCTATTTACATTATTTCAGTCCTCCCAACAATTATGTGAAATATTGTTGTTCCCTTTTTAAAGATGTGGAAACTGAGGCTCACACTGTTGAGGTAAACTGGCCTAGAGCTGTGGGACTCAATGGCAGAATCACAATATAAATCTTCCCATTGTTTATCTTATTATACAGGTAATTTTTTATTCACCCTTTTGACATTTGATCTGATTCAATTTAGCACAGGATTAGACTTTCTCTTTTTGTAGGTGTTGGATGAATGAAAAGGCACATGGGCCTCCATATCAAGCAACTGGGATCATGCAGATGTACTATAGATCTCATAGAAGAGATGCCTTGGCTTGATTAAGAATAAGAAAATGTAAGTGAACCATTTTATTCCTAATCCTTTTCCACTGACACAGGGAGGCCTATTTCCTGGAGCACTCTAGTTATCATGGCATCATCTCTCTGTGCTTTTCCCCCAGCGTTCTGGACTACTCAGGTTGCCTGATGGCATTCAGTTAACCAGGTCCTTCATAACCAGTTCATCCTCTGGGAACCTCAAGGGAAGTATCAGCCAGGTGTTTCTGAATCATTTACACTACCCCTACCAGGCTGGCGTTTGCAAAGAGCTCTTTTCATGTCCTGTTGGCCAGCTGCAGCTGCACCTCTATTTTATGAGCCGAACTTCTTGTCTCAGGAAGTCCTGCACTGCTGCCACTAAATGGCCTTCAGAACTGCTTAGTTTTGAAGTTCAGACAGCATAAAGTGTGAATGGCTTCAAAACATAGCCAGCCATTCCTCCTGCAGATCGTTCTTTCTCCTTGTGTTGTTCATGAGCAGGCGCATGTGTGATACCTGTCTGCACACACACACACACACACACACACACAAATGGGCACATACACTCACACAGACTCCATGGCTCCACCTTCAAGGTGGCCACTCCCCCTGGCTGTTTATAAACATAATAAGTGTGTCTTCACCGAGTTCTTTGCTGCTATGATTTACGCTGCATGTTCAGCCCGAAAGGAGCCCACGTGGAAGACCTACACATAGAGGGGAGTGTGGTGCATTTTATCATTTTGGTTTGTTGTTTCCTCCCATAATTTTTTTTGTACCTACTAATAGAGAAGCAGAATAAATATCTTAAGAGAGAGGAGGAAAAAAGATGCTTAAAACATGGATACCATTCTCACTTATTCTTGGGTACTCCCACTTGATTCTTTCCTCTGCTTTGTCCCATTTCTCTCTCATGCTGTGCCCAGCACAGATTGCCAGGAGGGTTTTATTTGAAGTTATTTACACCCCCAGCTTCATGGAGTGGGGAGAGCTGAGTCCCACAGGCCAGGTCAAAATGTTACTGCTTTTGGCCAAAGGTCAGTAAGACTGACCGAGCAATGAATAACTACTGAATGATCTTTAAAATAAGTTATAAAGATCAAAATAGAACAAAGCCAGAGTGAGCTTCCGACTATAAAAATAAAATTTTTGTAGTTAGTTTTGTAAAAGAAAAAGGTTGCCTGGTTGTAAGTTATCAGAGGCAAGAACCAATGCTTGTCTGTCTTTATGGCCCTCAAAGGGCCTAGCAGGGTGCCTGGTATGTAAAAGAGATTTAAGAATTGTTTCTGGACTGACAAATCAATCTAATCAGGCCTTGTAGTCATATTCCCTAGAAGAGTTCTAGTTTGAATTTTTAAAGTGACCATTGCAAATATAGTTATACTAAAACTTAGCCCACCTCCATGTCAGTGACAGATAATTTACTTTGTCCACATAGTCCATGAGTCAGTGGCAACTAGTCAGTAGTAATACTCCACAAAACTTGACACTATTCCAAGCAAAGGTTTCATTTACAGTTTGCCCTCTCTTTAGTTTATATCAGCCATAGAGGAAGCAAATGCTATGTGATATGTTATATAATATAGCATGAAAGTATAAAGGAAATCACCTTGCTGACATGTAATATAGCATAGAAGTATAAAGTAAATCAATTAATTGGCAATACTGTATTTGACTGAGTTAAGCTTGATGGAAATACTCCATGAGCTGCAGGTCATTTGGGGAAAATTCAACCAATGGATTGTCGCTCTATGTGTTGTCTTTTTAAAGTGAAATGCCAAAATAAATAAGTAAATAAACAAACCCCCAAAACAAAATCTCCAAACCAAAATAAAGAAATAAACAGAAACCTAGCAGATAGCAGCTAATTCCATATTCAAAAACATGTGCTGAATAACTTATTAAGTCTTTGCATTAAAAAAGATTATAAAATAAAAATTAATTCTGATAGTGTAAATCTACCAAACAATCCTAAAAAATGTCAAAACAACTCTTTTGTGCCCACCATTCACATTTAGCAAATGTTAACTTCTTGTCATATTATTTTTTTTAGTAAGAAAGAAAACATTACAGATTGAGCTAAGTCATGGCTCCTTTCTCCATTCCTTTCCCTTTCTTTTTTATGGTTGTTTTAATCCTTTTGTTGCATATAGATGAGCTGATGTTGGTAAAAATTAAAAATCTGAATCTACCTAGTGTTGGTAATGATGTAAGAAACTGGGAACACTCACATACTGTTGGCGGGAGTATAAACTGTTATAATCATTTTGGAGAGTGATTGGGCAATAACTGTTAGAGTTGAAGATGTACACATTCAATGTCCCAGCAATTTCATGTCAAGCTTGTCTCCTTTACTTATATATAACAGGAGGCAAAAGTTATATAAGGATGTTCCTTGAAGCTCAGTGTATGATACAGAAAACTGAAAACAATCTAATTAATCAACTGTGATACATAAAACAATGCAATATTATACATCGATTAAAATGAATAAACTACACATAAATATATCAACATGGTTAAATCTTATTTAAAGAGTTGAGTGGAAAAGGAAATCACAAAAACATGTTTAAGTATACTACTTACATAACTTTAAAAACACACATACTTCTTGAACTTTTATTTTATCTTCAGAGTCCAGTTGTGGAGGTTTAAAGTGACTGCTGTGTAGGAGATCAACTGTGAGTCAAATACTTGGTGGATGACTCACCTACTACTCAACATCTACTTCCCCCCAAGGCAACCTCACAGAGTTTTATTAAGCCTCTAGAGTAGGGTTGTCCAACAGAGTTTTCTGAGATGGTGAAAATGTTCTCTATGTGTGTGCTGCTCCATAGGTAGCCACTAGCCACTTGTGGCTACTGAGCACTTGAAATGTGGCTGGTGTGACTGAGACACTGAATTTTTAATATCACCTAATTTTCGTTTAAATAGCTACAGTGTGGCTAGTGGCTACCCTATGGGGCAGCACAGCTCTAGAACTACCTACCTTGAAATACAGAGGACAGAAGACACACAGGGATTCATTCAGTAAATTGCGGACTGTGGGAGGCTCTAGGCAAACAACCTTGTGTCTTCAACAAATAAATTGCCGGGCAGGGGGAAGATGAAACTGTGCATCAAAAGAGACTAAAGAGATAAAGTGACTTTATTTGGATGACAGTTGGAACAAACTGTTAAGAGAGATCATGAAATAAATGGAAATGTGAACAATGGGCATTTCATGATATTACATAATTACTGTGAATTTTCATAGGTGTGATATTTGCATTGTGATTATGCTTTTTGAGTACCTATCTTTTAGAAATGCCTATGAAAATACTGATAGATGAAATCACATACCATCATCTGGGATTGACTTTAAAATACTAAGGAAGGGAGGAGGTAAGTGGAAGTATTGATGAAACAAGATTGACTGTAAGTTGATATTGTTGAAGCTGAAGTTGATATTGATGGGTACATGAGGTTTGTTAATGCTATTCTGCTTACTTTGATGTATGTCTGACATTTTCCATAACACAATGTTAAAAAGTTACAAATAAGTGGCAATAAAGCATCTTAAAATCTTAGGGCTGGACAGTGCTCTAATTTTCACTCTCTTGGGGCTTTATTTCACCTAAATACTTTTTGAAGAATAAGAGATGTCCTCAGTGAAGGTCATGCATCCACCATCTCCCTAGAAGGCTTAGCTTGTAGCTGCCATCCTGTTTTAATGGCATAGAAACATGAATGAGTTCTCTGTGTTTTATGCTTTCACCACCTGCATAAATAAATACATGTCATGAGCCAATCTCCATTGATGGCATCAGGTATTATGACAGTATCCCTCTGTCTTTTGCACATTATAATCTTTGGGGTTTTTCATATCTACTGAACATCTGAATTTCATTTATTTTTCCTTTATGTTTGTTATCCAAACTTTCAGTTCAGATTTGTTATCCCTCTGTGTGAACAATAGCAGAGTATGGTATAGTAGAAGTGACTCTGTGTAGAAGAAGCTGGAAAACAAGGTGTACTGAGATAAGTCCCTTAACTCCTCCATCTCTGTTTCTTCATCTGTTACACTGGATGGTGGAACCAGATGCTCTTGGAAGTTCCCTTCTATATTTAGTTTGCCGTAATTCTTTTCTATACTCATTATCAGTTGCATCCCCAAATGTGGGGCGGCTTTCTAAAACATTTATTTATCGAATAATTCTAAAATATTAGTGTGTGGGGAGAACTTCGGACTTGGCAGGGTTTGATATTCACAGATCTTTCTCCTTATTGCTTATGATTTCACTGTCCCTCTAAATGTTTACAGATTTTTCTCTCTTCAAATCGTTTCATTACTGGACAGTCATTTCTGGGCTCTTGCTGCAAGATTGATTCCATATTTGCTCTCCTTCTTATAATTGTCCTATATCTTGCCTGCTCTTTGTTAGTTTTAAAGAATAATTATTGAGTGGCCCAGGCAAAATGCAAATTCATTTCTTCATAACTCAGCAATACAAATTTTCTTTCAGA